CGGAACAGTGTATTTCTGAGTGTGTATACATATAAAGGTGTATATATAGCACAGTGAGATGTGTGTATCTCTGTGTATATACAGTGAGATGTGCAGCTCTCAGCATATATGCAGCGAGGTGTGTGTGAGAGACAGGTGTATATCCCAGCAGGTCAGTGACAACGAAGTAAGTTCAACAGATCTGACCTTAGCAAACATTATAATGCCTCTTTAAAAAACCCGAGACCCTGAACCGAGATGACCTTAAACCCAGTGGATAGCAGTGTCGCACATGCAGTTGGAAGCTGGTTGAAGGCTATCAGACGATATTCTCCATTACTTCTGAATATCGAGGCTGAACTGTTAACAGTTATTAAAGTTATTAAAGGTCCTTTTGGGATCCTCAGATATCAAAAATATATACATTAACAGCTATTGTAATGTTAGTATAGCTGATCACGTGTATATCGCTGGTATATACACCTGTGTCCCGTAGTTGGGTTGGTAGTGCACTCAGCTCACACGCTGAGGTCCGTGATTCGATCACTGGTACGGGTGGCAACATTGAGGCATGTTTCTTTAAGATACCTACTGCCCATGTTCACCTAGCAGTAAGTAGGTACCTGGGTGTTAGTGGGCTGGTGTGGGTTGCATCGTGGGGACAAAATTAACCTAAGGTGCGGGAAATGCTCTGCATAACAAGGGACTTTCTATATAGTAGTACGTCATTGATGTCAGCTATGGTCTGTATAAGTTGTGTCAGGTACTGCTAGAAAATAAACATTATTATTGTCTGGTAAGCTTCATTCTGTAGATGTTTCGCCTAATCAGTCCCTCAGCTTAGCAGCAAGAATTCAGTACCACTCCAATCTCCTGTATTATATTGATAAAACCACTGATTGGGCGAACATCAACCGAACACTGTCTAAGTCATCGTAACTGTTATTATTAAAGATTAGCCGGTATTCTCCCGGCCCGGGCCTTGTCCAAGTGGTGGCCCGGCCTTGACTCCCTCTTTAGGGAGTGTCTGAGACCTAAGTCTCCCATGGGAGGAGGCACAAGTACCTCCTCATCTTTGGGACCAACTGTCCCCAGGCCTAGCCACAAGCTAGGCCTCTCTGGTCTGCCATCCCCGCCCCAAGTGGGCTAATGGGAATGACAGTCTTGTGAGCTAAAGGCTCGGGCTCAGGCACCTACCCTACCCTAGAAGGGTTAGGCATGGTGTCGATCATCGTAACTGTTCCTGCTTGAGGGCTCTGTGGTCAACATGACTGATGTGAGGTTAGGTAAGGTAAGATTCGTCAGGAAACAGGACAAGTGTTTCCTGACGTGGGTATTAGTCAGATGATGACCCACTGTTGGAGCTTCTGGTCATCTGTTTTATACGTTTTAATTAAGGAGGTACAGTGGAACCTCAAAAATCGAACTTTCTTTGGTCCAGAAGGTTGTTCGAGTGCCACTACCGAACGAATTTATTCCCATCAGGAATAATGTAAATTAGATTAGTCGATTTAAGACCCTCAAAAGTACACTTATAAAAGCACTTACAAAAATACACTTACATAATTGGTTGAGTTGGGAGCAGTTCGATTTTTGAGGTTCCACTACTTAAACTCAGAGCGATCCCTTTGAAGGCTCATGGTAATGCTTGAAGGGCCTATGACTGTAGCAGCATGGGTAGAGAAAGACCACAAAATCGGTCTCAGCGGGTACGAACCCTCTGCAAGCCTTCGCGAGGCCTGGTCATGGACCTCTCCACGGGGGCGTTGACCCGGAATACCCTCCAGGTATGCCCTCTAGGTACACCTTCCAGGTATACCCTCCAGGTGAGCCAGTCTTAAAACTAACAGCCTAGTTGCACACAATCACAGCACACTCACCACAACCCTTCAGGTGAGAAATGTGTATATCACATTAACCTGAACCCACAGGTGTGGTGATGGGTAGTGGTCAGTGGTCCATCACCTGGAGTGTAATGGACCACTACCCATCACCACCGATAATGGTGATGGCTTATATGTGTTGGCAGCATACACAACACATACGTATACACAAAACCACTAATTTTACCTATAACTTACCTTGCGTTACGGAACCATTGTTACATTCTTCATACAAAACCTGATGAGATGTATACCCTGATGTAGATCATGCATGATGGACGAGCCGTAGAAAGGATGTAGTATGCTGATCTGTGTATACCACCATTAAGCATGTCATAGCACATTTCTCCACAAGGACACAGACATATACAGTAGTGTATTATATAGAAAAGTGCAAGACAATACAACATACAGTAACTTATAAGACGTTTTTACACACAAACATTAGCTGTTACAGATGTGACTGTATACATAGTGTTGGTAGAAAGAATTTATGTTAAGAATAATTTATTAATTCGAAATTTTGGATAAAGCTAAAAAAAAACTTGAAATATGTTTAGTCAACTAAATTCTTTGTTTAAGAATTTATTTCGAAATCTATATAATGAATATTGTAAATGGAATTTAGAGTTTTCGGGTTGAAAGTGTTGCTGTTGTTACTGATATAACAATTTTGTGTTAGAGGCCATTTGTGTTACATCGTAGTGGCTGTCACCACTACCCTCCATCACATTAAAATTATCTAGTGTTAATACTACAGCTAAGAATTATTTGCATGTAGGTAAATCAAGGCTAACTTTCTTAACCTCTACGTCCTTCGGCTTGACTAATCCCTGTCTCTACTGCTATTACTACTTCTACAACAACTATAAATGCCTCCTGGCACCACTAAAATTGTAGTACTTGCCTCACTGGGGTCAAAATGTATCTTCTGCTGGCGTTTATTACGCAGAGCGACTGCTACAGCAGCCATAGCAAGGTCGTAGAAGGTGACACACTCAGCCCTCTGCTACACCTCACCCTCAAACACCACTTGCTCCATTTTTTTCAACACACTTTTTGAAGCACTTGCGTCTATTTGAGGGGCTCCAAGGCTCTTGTGATGTGTTCCAGAGGGATCTAAGTTCGTGTTGGTCACTTAACGTTTGGAATTCTCAACCAAGATGGGCAGAAATAACGATTTATAGTCACCACTGTCAGCAACACTTCTATGTCCCCTTCACGGCTGTCACTCATCTCTCCCACTTACAAAGCACTTATCTACCGTGATTCTAAGTAATTTTGTCCATTGTTTCATAGTCTCACGGGTGATGCACTTATACACAAATTGTGTAACTAACGAAATAATTTTGGCAATGCCTAGATATCATTAAGGTCCGTGTCAAGAAATACTACACCAAATATGATTCTCCGCTAAGACCATGACCTGAGGCTGGTCTCACATGAACTGTACAACAAATCACAAACCATTAGACAAACAGGGTCGAAGTTCCTCCAGGAATAAGTTTAAATAAGAATGGAAAAAGTCCCTCTGACTGTCCTTATGCCGTTTTAAAATGGACCCGATTTTAAAGGGATACTCCTTTAAAATTTGGGTCTGTTAATTTACAACGCCCTGTATTACTACGTATGATAATTTGTATAGCTGTATATACGTGTACCTGAACATACTGTTGGTAAATATATCTGCTTTTGATTCTGCCTCATTATTCTCATGGATTAATTACGTGATTATTATTGTGTTTAATATTCTGTAGGCTTATGGAATCAGTGGTTATTTTGTAAGATAAATGTGGTCAACCTTATTATAGGTCTCACTAATATGCCAGGGTACATGGATATATATATTCTGAATTAGAGAACGCCTAAGGTATCTTTACGTTTTGATATCCTAGACATAGGCTGTCCTGGTTACCAATAGTTGTTTGGTTAATGGGGTTTAAAGTCTACTACACCAGGGTCATTAACGCTTCACATAATCAGTTCATTACAAGAATAATTCTTAAAATTTGCATAAAATAAAGTCGTATATACATTAAAACACACATTCTAAAAATAATTATATATATACATATCCTTACCCCAAGGCATATTAATTATGGCTACTAACCTTTCCAAAATTTTGGATTTACTTGCTAAATTTAATTATGCAAACTTTTAGTAAAAATCACTTTATGGTAAAAAATTTTAATATAATTAAATTATAATTTATATATGTGTATTTTTGTTATAGTTAACACAAATTTATTGCTTTTGATTTTAGAGTTATTTAAATTTATCATTGAATATTTGTAAAATTCCTGGCTAGTATAAAGCACGGGTTACTTGTTTAAAATATAAATTAATACAAAGGACCGTGAATATTTTCCCAGGAATTAATATTTCGGAGATGAATGACTTTTAATATGGCCTATAAGACGGAGGCCTATAAGATGGAGGCCTATGAGACGGAGAGAGCTGGGATGAAAGTGTTGAGGCCAGACGACAGGGACAACATGTAACACAAGACAACGCAAGCAACACAAAACGGAATTTTTGATTTGCAGTCAATACACAGATGATCATTGAGTTGTGGGGTTGATGGTAGCTTGGAGAAGTAATTAGTGGGTAGAAGGAGGGGGCAAAGGCCCTTCAGTGGTGATACTGTACACAGGAGGGGTTATATGAGGACGTCAGTAGTGGGAAGCACTGTACAATGATGTCCATGCGACGCTGCTAAGGTTTGAGACAGTTCCACAGCCATAAGTGCGTGATAACGAGAGGCCTTGGCATGAAGGATGAAGGTGCCAGGCTGGGCTCAGGGTGCCAAGCTGGGCTTGGAGGTGCCAAGCTAGATAAAAGTATAAGAACGTAAATATGGAGAAACTGCACCAGGTCTACCAGCCCATGGTAGGCAGGTCTTCCTCATAAGCTGGGCTTGGAGGTGCCAAATTGAGGTGGGGTATGTGCGTGAGGCCTGGCATCAACCCTGCTGGTGCACTGGGGGTTTACATAGGGTTAGATGGATAGATGGGTGGGGGCAGGGTAAAACCTCCACTTCCTACCTCCTGGTCAAAGGTCAGGTGATGGCTAGTAATGGCAGAGGTGTCCTGATGGAGGGGGGTATCTGGATGAAAGGGCATCACGCCCCTTTCAGACGGGGCATGAGGCGCTCCTGGAAGTAATTCCACCTGTTCCCATTGAAGATATCTGAAAGGAGGCCTAGCTTGCCCCTGGTCAGCTGGTCATCAGCTGCCTGCTGCGGCAGCAGGCCAGGCACAATGCCCATCGTGTTAGAACGAACAATACCCCCCTGCTGGAAGGGTGGGCCAGGCCACCAGGAAGGACCGGGCACTGGTCCATCGGTAACCTCAGGCAAGCTCAACGTCTTGGGGAAGTCACTAGACGTCAGCAGCTGCCCGGGTATACTGACAGCAACGTCACCAACAGCAGCAACGTCAGCAGAGGCTGGACCTCCCTTCACTGGTACACTCTGGCTGGAGGTGACTGAATTCTTCCGTTGGCTGCGCTGCGCAAAGACCATGTAATTCTCACAGTGCTGCTGCGGTTGGTAACCAACGCCAGTTACCGACAGTCGACTGTGGCGGCGCCGGCGATCACGAATCGCCAGAGCACCGTGACCCATGCCGAAACGACCCATTGTGACCTTAGTTCAATACTCCTTTAAGATATCTTTTGTGCTTAGTAATCTCACATCAATTTCTGCAGTGAGAGAGGGGGAGGGCTCTTGATCTGAGGGAATCAGAGGTGCCCTTCCCCTTCCTCAGATCAAACCAACTAACCTCCCCTTATGGATTTAGTACGTCAATGGTCTCTTTTTTCCTCACATTCCACAAAAACTACGTAAATATTAAATAATATCCAAATCCTTCAAAATTACATTATAGGTTTCCGAAAGAAAGAATTTTTTGCAATTTTTTCGTATAGGCCGTTTTAAGTTATACTGGCGGAAGAAGGCTTAATTAATTAGAATATAAAAACAACATAAGTAAATTTTAATTAGAAAACAGGTAACCACAGAGGGCGACTAAAATCTCCACAGGTATACCAAAGAGTATAACAATAGTTATACTAATGAGTATCCCACTAGATATACAAACAAGTATCCCCATATGTTATATATAATATATATATTTATATTATAATATATTAATATATATATATATATATTATATATATATATATATATATATATATATAATATATATATATATTCTATCCTGCCAACGCTCCCCTGACAACACAGAATGCCCCAGCATGCCTCTGACAACACAGAATGCCCCAGCATGCCTCTGACAACACAGAATGCCCCAGCATGCCTCTGACAACAACTATGGCTCCAGTACCCTGCAACACCTGCCATTTAAACCTTTACGATCATTATATCTCTCTTAAACCCATTAAAACCAGATTTAAAACATAAAACCTTTTATTATCTGACTAAACAACTTTGAACTTTCTAGTAGTGGTGGTAGTGGTGGTAGTGGTGGTAGTGGTGGTAGTGTTGGTGGTGGTGGTAGTGGTGGTAGTGGTGGTAGTGTTGGTAGTGTTGGTAGTGTTGGTGGTGGTGGTAGTGGTGGTGGTGTTGGTGGTGGTGGTACTGGTGGTGGTAGAAGTGGTAGTGGTGGTAGTATTGGTGGTGGTGGTAGTGGTGGTAGTATTGGTGGTGGTGGTAGTGGTGGTAGTGTTGGTGGTAGTGTTGGTGGTGGTGGTAGTGGTGGTAGTGGTGGTGGTAATGGTGGTAGTGGTGGTAGTAGTGGAAGTGGTGGTAGTGGCGGTAATGGTGGTAGTGGTGGTAGTGGTGGTAATGGTGGTAGTGGTGGTGTGGTGGTGGTAATGGTGGTAGTGGTAGTGGTGGTGGTAATGGTGGTAGTGGTGCTAGTGGTAGTGGTAATGGTGGTAGTTGCGGTGGTACTGGGTAGTGGTGGTAGTGGTGGTAGTGGTGGGTAGTGGTGAGTGGTGGTGTGGAGTGGTGGTAGTGGTGGTAGTGGTGGTAGTGGTGGTAGTGGTGGTAGTGGTGGTAGTGGTGGTAATGGTGGTAGTGGTGGTAATGGCGGTAGTGGTGGTAGTGGTGGTATGGTGGTAATGGTGGTAGTGGTGGTAGTGGGGGTAGTGGTGGTGGTGGTGGTAATGGTGGTAGTGGTGGTAATGTGGTAGTGGTGGTAGTGGTGGTAGTGGTGGTAATGGTGGTGGTAATGGTGGTAGTGGTGGTAGTGGTGGTAGTGGTAATGGTGGTAATGGTGGTAGTGGAGGTAGTGAGTGGTACATGGTGGTAGTGGTGGTAGTGGTGTGGTAGTGTGTAGTAGTGGTGGTAGTGGTGTGGTGGTAATGGTGGTAGTGGTGGTAATGGTGGTAGTGGTGGTAATGGTGGTATGGTGGTAGTGGTGGTAGTGGTGGTAATGGTGGTAATGGTGGTAGTGGTTGGTAATGGTGGTATGGTGGTAGTGTTAGTAGTGGTGGTAGTGGTGGTGGTAATGGTGGTAGTGGTGGTGGTAATGGTGGTAGTGGTGGTGGTAATGGTGGTAGTGGTTTGAAGTGGTGGTAGTGTAGTGGTGGTAGTGGTGGTACTGGTGGCAGTGGTAGTGGTGGTGTAGTAGTGGTGGTGGTAATGGTGGTAAATGGTGGTAGTGGTGGTGGTAATGGTGGTAGTGGTGGTGGTAATGCGGTAGTTTGGTGGTGGTAATGGTGGTAGTGGTGGTAGTGGTGATGGTAATGGTGGTAGTGGTGGTGTAATGGTGGTAATGGTGGTATGTGTGGTAGTGATGGTGGTAATGGTGGTAGTGTAGTGGTGGTGGTAATGGTGGTAATTATGGTCAATGGTTTTGGTGGTGGTGTAATGGTGGTAGTGGTGGTGGTGGTGGTGGTAATGGTGGTAGTGGTAAATGGTGGTGGTAATTGATTAGGGTGGTATGTGGTGGTGGTAGTGGTGGTGGTAGTGGTGGTGGTTAATGGTGGTAGTGGTGGTGGTAATGGTGGTAGTGGTGGTGGTAATGGTGGTAGTGGTGGTGGTAATGGTGGTAATGGTGGTAGTGGTGGTGGTAATGGTGGTAGTGGTAGTGATGGTGGTAATAGTGAGTAGGTGGTGGTGGTGGTAGTGGTTAGGGTAGTAGTAGAGTAGTGGTAATGATGGTGTTGGAGTAGTGGAGAGTGGTAGTTGTTAGTAGTGTGTACAACACGACCTTGGTACGGTCTAGTAACCTGACGTGGTAGTGGTGGTAGTAGTGGTAGTAGTGGTAGTGGTGGTACAACAACGACCTTGGTACTGGTCTAGTACACCTGACGTGGTAGTGGTGGTAGTAGTGGTAGTAGTGGTAGTGGTGGTACAACAACGACCTTGGTACTGGTCTAGTACACATGACGTGGTAGTGGTGGTAGTAGTGGTAGTAGTGTACTGGTAGTGTACTGGTAATGGAGCAGTAGTGGTAGTGGTGTACTGGTAGTGTACTGGTAATGGAGCATTAGTGGTAGTGGTGTACTGGTAGTGTACTGGTAATGGAGCAGTAGTGGTAGTGGTGTACTGGTAGTGTACTGGTAATGGAGTAGTAGCAGTAGTGGTGTACTGGTAGTGTACTGGTAATGGAGTAGTAGCAGTAGTGGTGTACTGGTAGTGTACTGGTAATGGAGTAGTAGCAGTAGTGGTGTACTGGTAGTGTTAAATTGGAACGGAGTATTTAAACATTTGTGGGGGTAAAGGGGGTGTACTGGGACTGGGGGCAATAGTGGGATTTGGGGTAAATGGTAGGTAATGGAATGGAGTTTTTAAACTTAAATGGGGGTTCCCGTAGGTACTGGGGAAAGGAGTATTCCGCAATTGGTGTTGGGAGTGTACTTTTAATGGGGGCAGTAAATGGGGGTGGGTATGGGGAGTGTCCGGTAAAAGGTGTAAATGCAGAAATGGGGTACTGGTAGTGTATGGTTAAAGGAGCACTAGTGGTATGGGGTACCCGGTAGCGTACTTGGGAAAGGAGTATTACCCGTATTTGGGGTACTGGGAGGGGAAATGGTAAGGGGCAGTAGTGGTAGTGGGTTTTTTAATGGTAGTGTCCCGGTAATGGAGTATTTGCATTTGTGGGTATGGTAGTGAAAAAGGTAATGGAGTTTGTAGCAGAGTGGGGGTACTGGGAGTGTACTTTTAATGGAGCGTAGTGGAAAATGGGGGTACGGTAGTTTAAATGGTAAGGAGCGTAAATTTGGGAGTGGGGAATGGTTTGTGGGACGGTAAATTGGGGTAATTGCATTAAATGGTTTATGGTAATGGGACTGGAATTGGAGTTAAACAGTGTGGGTACGGTAGTGACTGGTAATGGAGCATATGGTAGTGGGCACTGGTTTGGTACTGGCAATGGAGTTTGGTTTTGGGAAATGAAGTACTGGTAGGAAATGGTTTGGGTAAAAAGCAAAGTGGTGTTGGTAAAGTATGGGAAAAAAGGAAATGCAGTAGTGGTGAAGGGGAGGTACGGTAATGGGGGTGTACAGTTTGTTTGGTTTTTTACTGGGAGTGTACTGGTAATTTGGGGCAGTAGTGGGTGGGGCAAGGTAGTTTTAAATGGGAATGGGAGTTTTTGTGTAGTGTGTACGGTAGTGTCCGGTTGGGTAGTAAATTGTAGAAATGGGTGAAATGGTAGGTCCGAAATGGTGATGTGCAGTATGTGTAAATGGTTTGTTAAATGGGAAGGATTGGGAACCAAGGTTGTGGTGTACGGGGATGGAAAAGGAAAGGATTGGCCTGGGGTGTCCGGGAAATGGAGTAGTAGCAGTATGGGGGGGAAAGGGAGTGTACGGAAAAAAAGGAAAAAAATAGTGGGGTACGGTAGTGTATGGAAAAGGGGTTGTAGCAGTAGGGGGAAAAGGAAATGTAAATGGTAATGGGGTTGTAACCCGAAAGGGGGCTGGAAATTCCTGGGGGAAGGGGTAAATAAACCGTAGGGGACCCCGGAGTTACCCGGAAAAGGAGTTGGAAAAAGTCGTTTGGTTTTAACCCGGGAGTGTACTGGTAATGGAGTTGTAGCAGTGATGTATGGAATGGGAGTAGTAGCAATGGGTTTTCCCGGAAATGTTTTGGGAAGGGTAGTAGCAAATAGTGGTTGAAGGTTTTTTTTAAAGGGAATGGGATTACCCGTTTGTGGGGTCCCGGTAGTGTACTGGTAATGGATTTGTTTCAGAAAGGGGAAAGGTAGTGTATGGTAATGGAGTAGTAGCAGAAATGGGTGTACTGGTAGTTAAAAGGTAATGGGAGTTGTAAAAGTTTGTGGGTACTGGTAGGTCTGGTAATGGTGTTGTAGCAGTAGGTTTTTTGGGAGTGTACGGGAAGGAGTTTTTTTGCGAAATTTTGGACTGGGGGTGAATGGAAAAGGAGTAGTAACAGTAGTGGTTTTACTGGGAGTGTACTGGGAAAAGGAGTTTGTAACAGTAGTGGTGTACTGGTAGTGTACGGTAATTTGGGGGGAAACAATAGTGATTAAATGGGGATGTCTGATAAAAGGTTTTTGTAAACAGTTGTGATGTACTGGTAGTGTACTGGTAAAAGGGTAGAGGGGTAGTTTGGGGTAAGGTAGTGAATGGGAAAAAGGAGTTTTAAAAAGAAATGGTGTACTGGTAGTGAATGGGGAAAGGTGTTGTACATAGTGATGTACTTTGGGAGTGTACTGGTAAAAAGGGAGATAGTAGCAGTAAATGAAGAAAGGGAAATGTACTGGTAATGGGGTTTTTTAGCAGAGTGATGTCCGGTTGTGAAATTGGGAAGGAGTTTGTAGCAGTAGTGGGGTACTGGGGAGTGAAATGATAAAGGGGGTTTTTAGTTAAAAAATGTCCCGGGAAATGTACTGGGAAGGGGGGGTTGGAAAAAGTGTGGTGTTTCTGGTGTGTTTTTGGTAATGGAAATAGTAGCCCGTAGTGGTTGGGACTGGTATGTTTGGA